TGTGTGCGTGTGTTCCCCTTTCTTGTTTCTGCTACAATATCCCGATCTGTCCCTGCCGTCGATGCTTTCTCGGTGGTCCGGACATGGCGAGCCGCCCTTCTGAAAGATCATAACTGGAAGTAAATTAATCCATTGCTCATTGAACTGGTAGGACAAAACATTCTTGCACTTTCACTGCGCTCATATTTTTGTTTTTATTCAATTTTGGATTTTTTCTCTATCTGGACAGATTTTTTGGATTTTTCACATCGAACTGGAGCTAAAAGAACTTTTTGAGTGTTGAACATTGAACTTGGACTCTGAATTACTACTTTTATTCAATCTTTTCCTTCGTTTTTTTTTATTTTTCTTCCTCATTGTATATGATTTGTGAAACTGAATTTTTCTGAAGTGAGATTATCATCTGAAGAGTGGTGATTTCATTATATCTTTTATTGTTTTATTCTAGTATTCTTCAAACTGAACTGTTTTGACATTTATTTATTTGCTTTATTTTGTTTTCCTCATCCAACTTGCTTAAACAATATACTTACCTCAGAAAGTAAAAAAAATTCATTTTGAAAACGAAATGCATTGATTTTATTTTTTTGCTGTTTGAAACAACTAACACTCATTTGGGGGATGGTGGGTCTCTAGCAGGGGGGGTCTTTGGAACGACCGCTGGCAAACGCTATGGATGAGCTCACCGTGGGCGTTGGTTAGACCAGGGGGAGAGCCCACCAAGCCATGCCCGGAAAGAGACCACTCTCCCCGGCATGACCCGCGCCTGGAGGGGGGGTAGCGCGTCCCTGGGTTTCGCTGACCTGCCGTCAAGTTTTCGATAACAGACACATATGAAGGACTTAGTGCAATTTTCGATTTAGCGGTTGAACGAACCAGGGGTCTAAAGAGGGGCCCGTTGCCCCAAAACAAGCGTTCAAACCCGGGGAAACCAAGTGGGCGCTGCTGCCCTGGTCCTACCAAGGACCCAGGTCTCAATGGCCAGCAAAGCTGCCCCAAAACAAGCGTTCAAATCCGGGCAAACCAAGTGGGCGCTGCTGCCCTGGTCCTACCAAGGACCCAGGCCTCATTGGCCAGCAAAGCTGCCCCAAAACAAGCGTTCAAATCCGGGCAAACCAAGTGCGCGCTGCTGCCCTGGTCCTTCCAAGGACCCAGGCCTCAATGGCCAGCAAAGCTGCCCCAAAACAAGCGTTCAAATCCGGGCAAACCAAGTGGGCGCTGCTGCCCTGGTCCTACCAAGGACCCAGGCCTCATTGGCCAGCAAAGCTGCCCCAAAACAAGCGTTCAAATCCGGGCAAACCAAGTGCGCGCTGCTGCCCTGGTCCTACCAAGGACCCAGGCCTCAATGGCCAGCAAAGCTGCCCCAAAACAAGCGTTCAAATCCGGGCAAACCAAGTGCGCGCTGCTGCCCTGGTCCTACCAAGGACCCAGGCCTCAATGGCCAACAAAGCTGCCCCAAAACAAGCGTTCAAATCCGGGCAAACCAAGTGGGCGCTGCTGCCCTGGTCCTAACAAGGACCCAGGCCTCATTGGCCAGCAAAGCTGCCCCAAAACAAGCGTTCAAATCCGGGCAAACCAAGTGCGCGCTGCTGCCCTGGTCCTTCCAAGGACCCAGGCCTCAATGGCCAGCAAAGCTGCCCCAAAACAAGCGTTCAAATCCGGGCAAACCAAGTGGGCGCTGCTGCCCTGGTCCTACCAAGGACCCAGGCCTCATTGGCCAGCAAAGCTGCCCCAAAACAAGCGTTCAAATCCGGGCAAACCAAGTGCGCGCTGCTGCCCTGGTCCTACCAAGGACCCAGGCCTCAATGGCCAGCAAAGCTGCCCCAAAACAAGCGTTCAAATCCGGGCAAACCAAGTGCGTGCTGCTGCCCTGGTCCTACCAAGGACCCAGGCCTCAATGGCCAGCAAAGCTGCCCCAAAACAAGCGTTCAAATCCGGGCAAACCAAGTAGGCGCTGCTACCCTGGTCCTACCAAGGACCCAGGCCTCGATGGCCAGCAAAGCTGCCCCAAAACAAGCGTTCAAATCCAGGCAAGGCCAGTGGGCTGAACACCATGGGAGTCAGGGGGTCCACGGGAGTCAAGGGTCCATGGCTGAGCTGCTAACCCGTCTCCCAGCATCCGTCACCCCGCAGCAAACATGAGACCTCATCGCTGACGGAGGCTAGAACGACGTGCGGCTGGTGCCCCATACACGAGCCCAAGGCCGGTGGTGACCCATTCACAAACCCAAAGGCCGATTGGGCCACCAGCGGTACGTCTTGGCCAGTTGGGTCACTAGCAGCACGTCTGTCTTATCCGTGCGGTTTGGAGGAGTTAGTGTCCCCGGGCTTAATAGTGGGGTGCCCGGGCACGGCTGGTGATTAGGTGCAAATCTGGAGGGTCTTTTGGAACCAGCGCTTGCCCCCGGAGAGTGTGTGTACCTCGGGCATTGCGCGCCGGGCACGGGGGCCCCCCACTGCTGGATGCCAGAGTCTCCGGGCCAGGGGGGGAGCTGGGCTGGGAGTGCCATCCCCGAAAGGGTGTGTGTACCTCAGGCATTGCGCACAGGGCACGGGGGCCCCCCACTGCTGGATGCCAGAGTCTCCGGGCCAGGGGGGGGAGCTGGGCTGGGAGTGCCATCCCCGAAAGGGTGTGTGTACCTCGGGCATTGCGCACAGGGCACGGGGGCCCCCCACTGCTGGATGCCAGAGTCTCCGGGCCAGGGGGGCAGCTGGGCTGGGAGTGCCATCCCCGAAAGGGTGTGTGTACCTCGGGCATTGCGCACAGGGCACAGGCCCCCTCCACCGCTGGATGCCAGAGGCCCCATCAATGGTTCACCAGCGGCTCCATCAATGGTTCACCAGCGGCACATCTTTACGCATCTAGCGCCAAAGGTCCAACAGGAAAACGTTATGCCTGGCGCTCACCGGGGCGTTGGTTAGACCCAGGCCCGAGCCCACCAAACCATGCCTGACGGGAGACCACCCTTCCCGGCCTACTTGTCGGGACGTCCCGTGCCTGGAGGTTTTTGCCCGACACCCACAATCTCTGACCTGCCATCAGGGTTTCGGGGAAGGCGAAGATTAATGGACTTAGTCTCTGACAGTCCAGTCGCCAGACCCCACGGTGACTGATCGATAGGAGCTAGTGTGGCGCCCCAGGGGCTAGGCCCCCACCCAGGCCCCCCAAAGCACCAACGGGGTCGGCCTCTATGGGTGTGGCAGATCCTCCCCGTCCTGGGCGCTCTATCAGGGAGGCGTGGGGGTGTCCCTCCGCACACAGCGCCCCCCCTTCCCGCCCCGATCTGTGGGTAAAGGACCCAGATGGCCCGTCTGGCTAAATGACCCAGAGCTTGTCTGCTGCTCAGCCCGCCCCCCTGGACTCCGTTTCCCCCGCGCCGATACTCGGCCCGTGCCCCCGCCCCACGCCCCTCGCCCTGCGAGGGCTGGGGGATGTTCGGTGGGTTCGGTCGAGTCACCCGGCGTGGTGAATCAAGGCCCCAGGGGCAGCGTAGGGAACGAGCTGGTGTAGGCTTCGATTCTACTCCCGCCCGAGTGTGTGCGTCTGCATCCCGTCCGTCCGCCCGCAACGCCGCCCACCCCCTGGGTTTATCCTTGCTGGCTCCCGGCTGACCCCCACCCCGCCTACCCTGCTCCCGGGGGGAGTGAGGGTGGTTGGTTGGGAGGGGAAGCTAGTGGACTCCGGCGAGGTGAAACGTGCCAGGGTCAGTGGTGCCGGGGTTACGGGCTGTCTGGACCCCCCTTTCGATGGTTGGTGCGTATCCCATGTTGGTTGTAGCAGGTCACAAAAGCTCCCGCGGCTGGCACGTGTGGAGCTGTCCCCCCCAAAAAAACGGCGCATGTTCGATGGGGCTCAAACAATCCCCATTTTGGGGTGGAAAAAGTGAACAAGAAAGGCTGTGGAAAAGCTCCCGCTGGCCAGAACAGCAAAATGAAGGGGGGATAGGGAGTGAGGTGGGACACCCCTTCCCCAACTCGAGTCGTAACAAGAGAGAGAGGTGTCAAACTGCTGACCGGGGCAACGATGAAGGGGCGGTGGGGTGCATTGTTTAACGGGACACCCCCCCCTCTGGTTCCTTTGAAAAGGGGGAAAGGGAGTGAGGTGGACACCCCTCTCCCCCCTACTTGAGAGTTGTAACAAAAGAAGGCTTGAACCGTAGGATCCCCGTAGGGCATCGGCTTACACCCCCTGGTGCGGGGGGGTGTCCTTCCCCTTTAAGAAACACGGGTCCACCAACGTCATGACGCAGAAGTGGACGCCGCCTCCGCCCGCTTATCAACCGCCGCACGTGGCGTGTGGGCTCCTTTCCCCCTCTGCACTGGCTCCAGCACGGTCATGGCTGAATGTATCCTATGCTTCAACGTCTACAGCCGGCTCGCGCCTCACCTGATGGCCGTTCACAAGGTGACCAACGCGGACGAGAAGCGGCTGCTGCTCGCGCTGGCCGCCGGCCGCGTGGACACTCGGAAGTCGCCGTGTCCGGTCCCGGGCTGTCGCAGGACGCCAGCCCGCCTGGACAGGCACTTGAGGCAGCATGTGGAGCTCTCGACCTCGGGGCGGAAAGAGGCTATGGGGAGGGCGAAACGCCGGAAAGTAGCCCAGGAGTTGCAGTGGCTGCGGTCCACCCAGCCTGCAATCCCCGTCGTGTCCCAGCTAGCATCGTCCTCCGATGGGGAGCGGGACTCGGAGGGCCCAGACTTGAACCAAGAACTGCTGGTGACCCTGAAGAAGAAACAAATATTTCCTTTCCGGGCCACCAGCAGCTCTTGGTTCATCCAGTCACGTCTGTCTGCCCCCGCTGCCCCGGGTCCCATTCGCGGGGGAGAGGGGCAGACAGACGTGGCTGGATGAACCAAGGGCTATTGGTGCCCCGGAAGAACGAACAGGGGGAATTGCTGGAACGGCGGAAGGGCTTGCTTACCTAGCAGGGCAGGAATTTTCCTCCCAGCGGACCGCGGACCGCGGCTGCAGGCGCGCCACCGAGCGCATACAGGCTCAGTTCACGGACCTGGGGAAACAGGTTACCAAGATGCGGTCCACCCTGCTCCAGATCACACGCCTCTACCGGGAGCTGAGGAAGGGAGAAGGGGGGAGAAGGAGGAGGAAGAGGGCGAGGAGAACCAGGTCGCCTCCTGCACCACCGGCTCCCGGGCGAGGGGCGGCCGGAGGTCCGACGCCCCCCGAGCCTCCGGAGGCTTTGGAACCCACTGCCTACCCGTTCCCGGACCACGTCCCCGCGCTGAGTTGAGTATATTTCAGGCACGTCACTGTCACTCTGCTGGGTGTGTGCCTTCGGGGAAATTGACTCTTGGTTGTGCTCGTTCCACAGACCTTCTCTTGGGGGAGTTCAAAGGGTACCAACTGGGCAGCGAGCCCACCGCGCGCCTGCGGAACAACGTCACTTCGAAGCTGGGGAGAATCAAAGCCTTCCTTGGTTACATGGCCAGGGGCACCGCGGAGCCAGGGAACTTCCTTTTCCTCAACCAACCAGCCCGAATCCGAGCGTGGGCCGCCCTGCTAGGTCAGACCCACATGGCCGAGCCCACCAGGCAGCACTATCTGAAGAACGTGGGTCAGTTCCTGGACTACCTCTCGGAGACGCCGCCGGCCGCCTGTCAGCTCTCCAGCACGGCTCTGGTTCTGATTCGAAGGGAGGTCAGAGCCCTCATTCGCGGCATACGCCGGCGTGTCGTCGTGCACGAGGTAAGGACCAAGCAGGCGAAGGAAAGCCGACTGATCCCCAAGGCCAGCCTGGTGCGCTGTCACCGGACCGCTGGGAGGAAAATTCCTGCCCTGCTAGGTAAGCAAGCCCTTCCGCCGTTCCAGCAATTCCCCCTGTTCGTTCTTCCGGGGCACCAATAGCCCTTGGTTCATCCAGCCACGTCTGTCTGCCCCTCTCCCCCGCGAATGGGACCCGGGGCAGCGGGGGCAGACTGGGTGAACCAAGATCTGCTGGTGCCCCTGAAGAAGAAACGCACATTTCCTCTCCAGGCCACCAGCAGCTCTTGGTTGAGCTGCTGGCGCCCCGGAGAACAGGTCACCAGCAGCCAAGAGCTGTTGGTGACCCAGAAAGGAAATAGAACCGTCGGTGGTCTAATCTGTCTAATGTCCTTCACCAGATAGCCTCGAATCCAACCCAAGCACTAGGCAACAGTGGCGCTACTATGGCTTTCTGACTGGCTACCTAACCTCCATCTCTGGGCACCGCTGTGGAGTCTTCCAGAATCTCACAATCCAGGAGGTTGAAGAGGCCTCCAGAAGCCCCGACGAGTCTGCTTATGTCATTAACGTGAGTATGGCGCAAGTAAGGTGGGGGTCACCAGTAGCATGCTCTCTCACTCACTCACTGCTTGTTCTCTGATGGCAGATTACCACTCACAAAACAAACAGAGCCTTTGGGGCGGCTCAGCTGTCCCTAAACAGGGAGGAATACAGCTGGTTCCGCAGGTTTTTGGCGCTGTGGGCTGGTCTCCCCGGAGGGAGCCAGGCTACCTATTTCTTTTTCACTTCCAGAGCCAGTCCTTGTCGGACCCTGAACAAGTACTTTCAGTCTGCTTGGCTCAGTATGGGCCTTCCAGGCAAACCCACCTTTACTGACGTACGGACTGCGATAACGACCCATGTGAGTAGGCATTGTGACGCCCCTGTAACTACCAGCGGCGGCTTCGATCCTAATCAAGCTTCTGTCTCTCTCCGAAGCAGGCAAAGAATGCACACTCTTCAGAGGATTGCCGCAAGGTGGCGCAATTCATGTGCCATGACACTTCAACCTCAGATAAGTTCTACGCACTTCACCTCGGACCTCTCCAAGCACGCGAGCGCCGCAGACTCTTTGAAAGGGCCCTGGTGGAGGAGGAGGAGGATGGGGAGGCAGCGGGCACTGAAAGCCCCCCGCGGAAAGGGCGCAAGAGGACAGAGACTTCCGTCTCTCCCCTGGTAAAAATCAGATTCTCTTTGGCGTGGACAGCAGAACGTGTGGCATTGGCTAACTAACTGCCCTTTATGTGTCTCTTTTCCAGGAGGGAACCAGCAGGAGGACGCTGCCATGGCGCCCTGCCAGGGGGAAAAGCCAGGGCGCTCGCCCGCTCGAACAAACAGAAGACTCTGAATCGTCCTGAATAAATATTGTACAACTTAACGGTCAAATGGTGTTCAGTGTCTTCATTATTCCTTTTATTTATTATCTGTGTGGTAAAAGTAGATTCAGTGGGGACAAAAATGAGCCCTGTCTTCTTAGTTCAACGCTGTATGCCTGCTGCGTCTAGGTTCTGCCTTGGCTACGTTCCGATTGGGACAGATTAGCCCTAACTTGTGTGTTAAAAGTGTCACGTGGGATGCCCTCGTCCAGGTTCTGCCTTGGCTACGTTCCAATTGGGACAAACTATCCCTGCCTTGTGTGTTAAAAGTGACTCGCGGGACGCCCCCGTCCAGGTTCAGCCTTGGTTGATAGCTCATAGGGAGAATGAATCCCTTTTGCAGCACAAGGAGGTGATGGGCTGGACAAATCTGTCCAGGTCTGCAAATGCTTTGAACGCCCAGAAGGCCTTGAGTCCAATTCTGTATATTAGCAAGCTTCTCCCGGGACAGCTCGGTCCTTAGAGATGCATGAATAGGTCAGGACAGGGCAGCTGTGGAGTGGAGGTTAACTTTATGGAGTTATTCAACTTTATCTTTGAGTCTGACTTATTTGACTATCTAAAACTGGTTGTTATTTCTATACACTCTTGCGAGCGAATTAAAATCTTCTGACATCTAGTCCTAGTAAGAAAATAGCAAATACTGTAAAAATAACAATAGAAAACGCATCAATAACACATAGATAAGGGTTACATCATGTATGTCAGAAACTGTAGTTTACTGCTGAACTCATTTTGTCATGGTAAAATAACACAGTAATCGAATAATAACACTTCAGTCTTCTGCCGAAGCTCAGACACGCTGCTTTGAGAAACTATCAATCACAGCTGTCAATCACGATGACACGCCCAGCATTAAATTACTGCTAAAAACAAACTGTTTACAAAAATGAGGATCTGCACCTATTTCAGCACAATAATCAGTGCCTTAATCGACCAGAACCATCTCTCGGGACATTTTTTTGCAAGTGTAATTAATTTTTTTATTTGGGCTCAAGTCTCCTTCATTAACACGGAGGAGGCGGGCTTTATGACTTTTACTGCAGCCAGCCCCCAGGGGGCGATCTAATGGCCGAGACCTTCACTCAAACGCAGGCTTGCGGCACACTTGGTACTAATATCTGCATCACAAACAATTTTAAAGCACATCTGGGGCCTCATGTATCAACGCTGCGTACGCACAAAAACTTTGCGTACGCCAGGTTTCACGCTCAGAATCGCTCACATTTGGATTTACTAACAATGAACTAAACGTGGGAATGTGCGCAGCTCCACGGCAGCTTTATGGCTGGCGTACGCACATTTTTTGTGCGTGTCTGTTTTATTTCTATTGGCGACTCCTAGAGGCAGTTGTGTTGAATTCCTCTCTACAAAATGTCTGAGCAGTGCAATGGCAGCTGTATGAGACTGGTCCATCTAGCAGGTATATAAGGTTTCCATACCATACATTTGACCAGCTAAACATTAAAGCACAATTTGCAGCGGTCGCCTGTTTTCCCAATGTAATCTGATCTACTGCACGCACATTGTTATAAAGACACTATCTAAAGATGAATTTGCATGCGTGAATCAGAAACATTTCCATTCAATAAATGTGCAAATAAAGTCAAGTCAAGTCAACTTTATTGTTAATCAAACCATGCAACAGTACATTACACAGCAGACTGAAATTGCATTTCTCCCATACTCCAATGTGCAATTTAAATAAAATAAAATATGAAATTTATGAAAAATGATAATAGTATAAATAAAATATGATGCACAAACTTATTAATGATTTCTACTTGTCTTTCTCGTGATAAATAGTAGGCAAAATCTGATATGTAGCGGGGAGAAAAAGAAGAAAGAGTTCATAAGACGCTGGATTCGAACCGAGTTCATGCTCAAACGTGTCAAAACATGTAGACATGCGTCTTAACGAACTGCACCACTGAGACTGTTACAGGCACTGCAACAGTTTACAGCTATAAACCACACCATTTCTTTTTTTAATTTACTCAGTGTGATGTTCAGATTCAACTGTGTTAACCGCATCAGCTAAACTCTCCCACTCTATTTTTTTCTTTTGTTGTTAATTCCGGAGAACAAACTTGCAAATAACACCGCTTTTCTCTGGTCTACCTCCGAAAGCAGCACCTCCAATTCACATTCTGTTGAAAGTTCCTCTTTTTGCTTGCTTTTGCCTTTGCTTTTTCGTTGGGTTTTGCCAAAGTAGAGTCATTAGAATATTCATACTGGGGTGGGGGGGTGGGGGGGTGGTTTGCGTTCAGTCAGATGTACAAAAGAATATGCGTGAGATTCGGCGTACGCAGTGTTTCATACGTCTGAATTTTTGCGGCGTACGCAATGTTTTAGTAAGATTTCCATGCAAGTCTTCGTACATGAGGCCCCTGCTGTTGGAATGCAATCTTTAACGTAACCAAAAAAGACATCAGCATCTGAATTTGAATAGGAGAAGGAGTATAAATTATTGTAGCAACAATACATTTCCTTGGAAATAACTTTAGGATCTGTACATTCTAGACCATTAATCATTAAAGCTTTAACACTGTCATATTTTTGTCTCTCTCTCTTTTTTCCAGTGTTCTAAAACATGCCAAACTCCTTTCCCCCTCCTTTATTTACTTAGCTCTCAATCTTATATATGCACCTTAGGCTTTGTTAACATACATTGTATAACAATAATTGGAGTAGCATTTTCACTTATGAGAGATTTAGTTCAATGCTGTTTATTTCTTAAATAAGTTAGATTTTTTTGTGTTTACATATACATTTTTGGTGGTGGTTTGGGGGTAAAAATATAACAAAACAAAAAGAATATGAAAAAAATTGTTTTGTGTAACAACAATGGAATGACTCAAGGATAATGTAGTGCACTACCAAAATTTATTTAGTATATTAAAAGGCTTATTAGACTTAATATAAAATATATATAAAGAATTAACATATAAAAAACTTTGTGTAAAAAAATTTTGAGTGTAAAAATCTTGATAGTTTTGTGGGTCTCATCTATCAAATCTGATGTTTATTTTGTATTTTATATTAAATTTAAGTCAGGTTCTACAGCTTGATTTTCTTTTTCTGAAACCATTCGAGAGACCTTAGCTGTGTTTTGGATCTTTGTCTTGAAATGTCCATTCTGGTTTCATCTTCATCATCCTGGTAATGTAGATGTTTTTTACTGAAGCAGCTAATATTTATTTACAAGGACAAAGGGCAGAGAGTTGCTAAATAACTAAGATTTCAGCTGCTGTTAGGGCTTTCACTGCCTTTTTACGCCTTCCTTTTTTCTTGTGTTCAATATTTTTCCTGTGTCAATTCATTTTATTACACATGACTTAAATTTAGTTTCTCTTTCAAACATTCGCTTGGTATCTCACTATGGAAACGCCTCAGGTGTGACAGACTATGGAATCACCAATTACACTACGTCTGCCTGAGGACAAACAAATCAGAGTTCGCAATTAGGAGCCCACCCTCTCCGATATAATCCGCTGTAGTTCAAGCATTCTTCCTCGTGAAGACTTTTTTCGTTAAGCACCCAGGCCGCGCTGCAAAGTTCTCAAATGTACAAGTCTAACGTTGCCAAACGCAGCTCAGTCATATTGAATCTGTCTTGTAGCTGGGAATCTCCCTCCTGCGGTCATGCAGACAGTGGCTCTTCACCTGTATCCAAACAGGCAGGCTGCTGCCTCATCTGCAACACCGTCCCTCCCTGGTAAGATGGAACGCTTCACTACTTCCATGTACTAGAAAATATGTAAATC